TCCTCCCTCTGCTCTTTGTTGTCCTCCCCCACCCATGATGTGCCCACCATGAACTGCTGCCCTCTGCCATGTGCCGCTCTGTTTTTGAGCCAGCTGAGTATGGACTGAAACCTCTAGTAACTGTGAGCTAAATAAACCCTTCCTTCCCTAATTTTGGATGCTGGGTATTTTGTCTCAGCAACAAGAGAAAAGTAACTAAGACACAAGTAAGGGCTATCATGAAGATTTATCATAGAAAGCTCTTCAGGGCTCACTTCTCTTTTTATGCTTTCTAAATCTTGAGGGAACCAGGATATCCTACATACAGATCTTGAGAGGTAGTGCTGGAAGCCCATGTCTCAGGCTGACATCAGGTCTAGGCTTCCTATTGAAAACCTGCTCCAGTTCTCATGAGAAGTCCACATGTGTGGCTTTGAGAACTATTCTACACAGATGTCCAGGATCTTGTAATTAATGGGTCACACCTACTTCCTCAGCTAACTTTTGCCACCCCCTAATTGCTTATCTCAGCATGACCTTCCAAGGCCCCCACCTCTGAATACAGGAGATTTTTAAAGGGATCTTTTAGATCTGAACTTTAACAAACATAGTGGAATTTTAAAAGGGTTAATTTCTAACAGGTTGGGCCAGCCAAATAGCTCACCAGATTAAATTGCCTGCAAGCAGGTGCAGGAATCAGGAGTTCGGGCCCTTGGCCTGCTGTGCTAGCCTTGCCCCTGGGGTATACTGAGACAATGATTGAGACTGGGTGTGGTGCATGCTTATAATCCCAACTCTGTAAACAGCAGATCACTAGAGTCTGATGTAGTAGTGAGACCTTGAACACCCTGTAGACCCTTCCCTAAAAAAAATACAAAAAATTTTTTTCTAACAGGTGACTATGCTAAAGCACAGGGGAGCAAAAGAGATGGGTATGAGTATAAGAGTGTGGTGATAATGATTGTCCCTGACATCCAAGCTGGGGAAGAAGGAAACAATATGTGTCACTATGTGATGATTTTGGCATGTAAAATTCAGGCTCTTATGTAGGATAAGCCATGAATTGCAAGCACACACCCATGGCACATAGAAAGCAGCTACATTTATTGAAGATCACAGGAAGTGGTATTCCGGGCAAGTCAGTGCTGACAGAAATATGGCACAAACAGAATAACGCCGGGGTGACAGGGAAACAAAAGCACAAGAAACATAGCACACAGTAGCCTCCAGAGAAATCAGGGTTTCAGAATTTAAAGGGTATGCACTTCAGCCCAGGGACCTCCTCAGGACTCTCTGGGTATGAATGACAGGAATGACCAACAGGGTGCTGTGTCATCTCAGGGGCTCTTGACATGCATAATTGTCCCAGAACTCTATCCAGTCTTTACACGCATGAGACAAAGTTCCCATTCCTGAAACCTAAATAAAGTTGAAGAAGGGTAAAAATGACTGAAGTCAAGCAAGGAGATCTAACACGCATTTGGTCTCACCTAGAGCATCAGAGATTACGTGGGCTTTTATTCTCTACTATGCTTAGGATAGTGGAAGGAGGAATGGCCCTAGGATATTGTTTAAAATTAAGCAGGTGGAAGGGAGCAACTTCCTCAGCTCCATCTTTTCTACTGTACTGTAAGCATGTGAAGGGGTGAAAGGCAGACTTCAGGGAAGGAGGCAGAACAGTAACCAGCAAATCACCCTGCCCAGGATTCAGAATCCAGCCTGGAAAATAACAATGTGGGGAAGAAAGGAAGGAGAGAGGAGGATCTCCAGGAGCCAGGAAGGACCTGCTTGACATGGCCTTCCTGATGAACTTAGCTGCTCCCATTGCCAAAGGAGCTCAGGACCTCGTTGTTGCTGAGAATGGCCGCTGTTCATGTTGGGGAACTCTGGTCCTCACCTTGAGTGTCACTTCCTGGCTCCAGAAGGGAAGATGGTGCAGTGCACAGCTCAGTTTCCTGGAGAAGCTTGTTGCATTGGCTTTCCTTATTCTCAGAGGAGTTCAGAATCTCACTGTTGCTGAGGATGGCTGTGGTACTTGTTGGGGGGTGGGGTGGAGGGCTCTGGTTCTTACCTTGAGTGTTGCTTCCTGGCTCCAGTGCAGATCCCTCAGCCTGCTAGCACTGATCCTTCATCCTGCTGGGCACAGACTTTCTAGCTTCTCCCATTGACCTTTGGGCCTTCTGAGCACAAATCCATGAAACAGTTTTGCATGAGACATTGTTTTTTTGTTTGTTGTTTTTTTTTTTCAGAACTGGGGATTGAACTCAGGCCCTTGCACTTGCCAGGAAAGCACTTATTCTACTGAGCCATCTCCCTGGCCCTGTATGAGACATTGCTGTGGGCTCTAGGGGTCCAGCTGGACTTGTGGGAGGCACTGTTATGAGCTCTAAGTCTTCAGCTGGACTCATGCAGCACATTATTGTGGGATCCAGGCCATTAGCTGGATTCTTTGACCTTTAGTATATGGACAGATTTCCTGCTTTTTCTTTTTGTATATGATTCTTTGGGTGACTATTATAATCTTCTAAAATATGTCCTTTTTTGGGGGAGAGTACTGGGAATCGAACTCCAAACCTTGCACTTGCCAGGCAGGCACTGTGCCACTTGATTATACTCCCAGCCCATATGTCCTGAATTGTATTGATTCCCTTGCAAAACCCCAAACTATGACAATCTCAATTAGGCATTTATGTTGCCCAGAAATACGGCTACCTAATACCTTACACATGCATGTAAGTTCAGTGATTTCCCTAATACAATGATTTTCCTATAAATCCTCATCTTTCTAAAACTTGCAACAACTTTTCTTCTATATTCACCCCCATATCATGTTCTGTTTCACTGAGAAATACCAGTGACCTTTATTCACTGGCCTTATTGACCACTCCAATGAGGGTAGAGGGACTCCATAGAGAACTTTGAGGGCATTGAAGTGAAAGGATGTCATAAAGAACTGACTATGAGGCTTGGATTTGTGTTCCATGATTTTGAAGGAAGGATTTAAGAAGTGAGGTTTTGTTCTAGAGTAGATGTTATCCAGAGTTGTTCTAATTCTATGAAGGGGTATCTTAATAAACCTTACCTAGAAGGCAGGAGACTGAAATGAAGCTAAAGCTTAAACAGGAAATGCTAGAGTTATCATTCATAGTAGCCATCCTGGTGCATGTTTAGTCATTTTTTGTGGGTTGAGCTATGGCCATGTTCTTGTTCATACTTAGACCTAATTATTCATGGTCAAAGAGTGAGAGCAGCTTTGTTTAATACTGGCGGTCTGTGAAATTTCTTGTATTTAACAGAGAATAGTTTATGCAAAGTTTTATAGGACAAGGTCGGAAGCCTGTCCTTTTTGTTCATGCTTTTAGGTAATTTATCATTTATTATGTAAACATCTATTTTAAAAATACACTCTGTATCTGACTTTTTGTAGAACTGAATTCAACCTTTTCCCCTCCTTCAATTTTACAGATATTTTCTTTTTTTTTTTAATTAACTTTATTGGTACTTTTTTTTTGAGACAGGGTCTCACTTTGTAGTTCACACTGGCCTTGAGTTCAGTATGTAGCTCAGGCTGGGCTTGAACTCACCATGATCTTCCTGCGTCAACCTTCCAAGTGCTGGGATTACAGGCGTGCAGCACTACTCCCAGCCATTGCTGGTACATATTAGATACACATATTGATCACACTCATTATAGGTAATTTATACCTGTACGTGACATATTTTGATTCTTCTTTTTCCCTATTACCCTTTTACAGATATTTTCAAAAATATTAAACTAGTAAAAAGAAATTACCCAAGAGCAGTATATTCTCTGCAATAATTGTTACCATTTTTGATATTTTTGCTCTCTTTACAGATTTACCTTTTCTGAAGCTTTTGAAAGCAAGTTAGCAGACTTGACATCCCTAAATATCTCAGCGCGAATTTGCTAACAATATTCACTAACACAACCACAAGTTATTAATTTCCACATATGTATATCAATACATTCATTTATAGGCCATTAAATAGCATCAACTCTAATGTACACATCATACTCAGACTTCTGTAATTGTTCGGTTTTTTATGTTTATGTTTTGAGAACCAAATATTCACAATACTCAACTTTTTATGTGTGACTTCAATTACCTTCCTCCCAGGAACAAGATCTGGCCACGCCATCCTCTGCTGCGCGCTCTGTAGTAGGGTATGCACCACACGGGAGGCTCAGGAGTTTGCAGTGGGAGGGCAGGATCATCCTGATTCCTAGCAAGGGTCCCTGAAGATATAGCCGTCTTCCAGGAGTCAGCGAGGTGCAGCGGCACGCAGCGGCCGCCAGAGGGCGCAGGACGCCGCGGCAGGGGCCCCGCGGGGCGGGGGCGTGGGGGTCGCGGCGGCGCGTGCGCAGTGGGGCCGCGATGGAGGGCGCTCTGTCTGGCCGCCAGGTAAGCTGCGTGGCCATCGCGGGCGAACGAGCGGTGGCTTCACTGGGCAGTTTCCCTCTCGCTAGTTGCGTGCAACTTGTCAGATGGTGGTGATTAATTCCTCCGTTCCCATTCTCTCGGAGCTCTTTGGAGTAATCTGGAAAGTTGTTACCCAGGAGACGGCTTCCCGGGCGAGGAGGCAACGCCGCCTGTCGGAGGCGCGGTGCTCGAGTCGGCTCCCCGAGGCGCTGAGGGGCGCTGAGGGGCGCTGAGGGGCGCTGAGGGGCGCCTCGGCCCCAGGCCCGCGGGGTCTGCAACCGAATCTTTCTCCAGCCTCCTTTCCTTCACCGTGAGCCTTTGATAAGTGGACCCAAGTAGTTTAAATCCCAGTGCTGTCAGCCACGTTTTGAATTTCCACTAATTTTGCCTTTTGTTTGCTACTTTATTTGATAAAATGGAAAAACCTGCTGCTTGTCTTCAGGATGAAAGGCTTTTGTAGGGCGACCCGTTTCTTCCTATCTGCCTGACATTTACATTGCTCGTGTGAGTGTATTTTCCTCTGAGAAAACTGCAGTCAGTGCTGTATCTTGTTAGTAGTATTAGCTTACCGAGGGGTAGAGGCATTCGAGTGATTGTGCAAGCATACTAATGAGAACGTGTATTATTTTAATTGATTCTCAAAGTACTGTTCCGAAATAGGCAGGAGAGATATTCGTGAACCCAGTTTAGGTATGACTGATTTATGTGTTGAACTATGTCCCTGCATGAGTTGTTCAGGGTAAGCTAGGAGCTACAGGGATTGGACCCTGTTCTCAGTGGTTAGAGGGAGGAGATCATTACCTTAGCCCTAGAGCTGAGGAGGTAGATTAGTTAGAGTCAGCGACTTCTCTGAGAACCACACAGCTAGTAAGTGTTGTAGCCACCCTAGAGAGAGCCAGATTTGACCCCACCCAAGATCTGATGGTCTCACACAAAAACACATACACTTCCCCACAAGGATATGAAGTGGCCTAGTAATTACGTAATTATGTTCTCCAGCAAATGTCAGGATGGCCTCTCAGGAGCTAGGAGAGGAGAGTGACTTCTGCTTTTATTGTGCTGAGGGAGTGGGACCGGAGTGAGAGTTCTGTGTCTGGACCAGGGTTGCTTGGTGCGTGTCCCACCCACATCCAGGAAAAGAACACCCATGCTTTTTTTTTTTTTCTATTCATTTATTTATTTTATTTTATTGAGAAACAAATATCAATGAGTTTCAAAAGTGATTAATAGGACAGTCTCAATAATTAATACATTGTACATTGTTATCTTCTTAGTGGTTATCCGTAGTGCAAGATGCAGACAGAATAACCTGTCCAGACACGAATAGTACAAATCTTTCTTCTCATTGAATTAAGCAAAAGTAGCTGTATATCTATCCTAACTATTCTGCATATACAGATACAAAATCATCCTTCCTTTGTATTGCCTTTTTTTGTTCAGTCCTGTCAGAAATAGGTATTTCATTGGCATCTAAATACTATAGGTGCATGAATTCAGCAAAACAATCCAACACAGTCCATCAGTCCACAATAGTAGGGGGTTATCCACAGAAGTTGTTGACTTGAGCCTTTCACAGCTCAGCATATTAATATGGCTTTACTTTATATACCTTGTTTTTATACTTTTCTGCTAGATGGTTAAGACCAAGATAAAGAAAGACCTATATAACAAGAAATGTAAATTTTGTATCTGATAAGATCAGTCAAGTCCTCTCAGGATTTATCCTGTAACCCTGTACCTTAGGTTGCAGATCCTTTGTCAGTGTCAGCCATGTGGATGAGTCACGGCCATTGCTTGACCAATTTGCTGTCTGTGAAAGCCTGAGAGAATGTTTTCTCTCTATGTGACTCTCCTTAGGCACACTACATCATCGATCACGTTGCTCTGTGGCCCCATAATCTCCTTGATCAGAAAATTTGGGACACAACTGAGTTACATGATGTTACAGTACAGGTTCTCCTATGTCCTGAGTCTTCACTGACCTTGAAAGGCTAGGGTCAAAATGTTGGCTGTCCTTGCAGCGCTTCCATTTCTCTAATTTTTGGTTTGCAAACTTAGGTTGTTAACCCTCCAGAAGAGAAGCTTATTATTACCCTACATCTTATACAGTTGGGTTTAACTTCATTATCTGTCTGAATATCACACCACCCATGCTTTCTTACCAGCTTTCCCAGAAGAGGAAGTGGGGAGTGTGAAATCTAAAAGTTGTCTGCAGGCAAAGGTTAAAACTTGAATCAATCTTCTTATTACAATTCATTGATGATTGAAATGTACCATTTTTCATTTAACTTAATTTGAATTTGTTCAAGAAGGCCATTTGTGACTCTGAGGTCTTCAGCCTAATCTAGTAAAGAAGATGAAAGTTCCATTGAAAGCATTGTTCAAGAGCTAAAATTGTATTTTGAGAAATAAATATATTTTTATTACTGTTGGTCAGATCTGGAATGCTAAAGAGCTTTAAGAAGTGTCTTGATAAGACACTTGTATTATGGTATACATAGTATACCTTTGGTATATTGTAGACACATTCTTGGCCTTGATTTATGGTCTGAATATCTTTGAAACAAGGGTATCTGAGAGGTCTTTATCCCAAGGGGAGCGGGTCTCAGTCAGTGTCTTTAAAATTTATAAAAGTATATAGATGGAGCCAGTTGTTGGCCAGAACATGAGTGGTAAGATGATTCCTGAAGTTCAGGCAGATATGCTGACATTTGGGTCCTGTCCTGTATCAGGGACATCCTGATTAGAGGATGAAAGCATCATTTTTCTAGATAAGTCCTTTACATGCAATTGTTATATTTGATGCTATCCGTGAAGTGTTCTAGTCTCATTGCTGTTTACTCAGGCAAACCCAAGTTGCTCCTCAGGTGGACAGAGGTTCAGAGCAGCGATGACCCCTTGGAGAACCATAGCATCTGCCTAGGGGATTATTAGAACAGGGGAAGCCAGGCCCTCCTGTGACAGATGTGCCAGGAGACCCAGATTTGCCTCAGTTAGAATCTTGCCTGTAAAGTTTGCAACTGAAGGCAGGGGTTGTTGAGGGACTCTGTAAGTAGCCAGGTAAATGTATATGATATTGTCTGGCAGTGAAGGCATACTGTGGCTGATGGGCTGTTGAAAGAGGCAAGGAACAGGACACATTAGCCTAATCCTTAATAACAAAATAGTTATGACTTGCTGGTTACATAATCAGTGGTTCCAGTACTGTTGGATGTAGGGGCCTTTAATGGCACCTGTAGCATGGAAGATGCAGAAAGCAACTGAGGCACCACTGTCAGGCCACAGTGGGGTGTTAAATTGAAAAACACAGTGATAACCCTTCTTTTGCTGGTTAGGTCTTAGGTTCAATCCTGGGAGCTTGTGTTTTATTTTACACTGCACTGTGTTATTTTAATTGGGGTTTGGTGATGGTGGTTCTGGGGAGTAGGGTCTCAGTTTCTTAAAAGGCAATTTGTAAACTCAGAGACTTTAAATTAGTAATTCATTGGTTCAGAGTATATGCTGCTACTCTGGGCATTTTAGGGAAATACAGATTATATTCTTGGAGAATTTAGGCAAGCAGTTATTTTGATGGTTCAGGTGAAGTGTGCCTTATGACTTTTGTTATTATTTTTTATGTGTTTGTTTTTGAGACAGGGTCTGTCTGTGTAGCTCAGACCAGCCTTGAACCCATTATGTAGGCCAGGCTGGCCTCAACCTTTCAGTGATCCTCTTGCCTTAACCTCCTGGTTACTGGGATTACTGCCGTGTGCCACCTCACCCAGCTAACTTTGTTATTTTCTATGCAATAACTCCTCTAATATTATAGGTGGAATAACTGTAATTTTAAAGCCATGAAGATTTTCCAATGTATGCATTCCAGAAGATGCTGAAATTAATTCATAACCTATGTTTATTTGTTCTTATTTTTTGCCTTTTTGAGACAAGAGTCTCACTATGCAGCCCAGACTGGTCTTGAACTCCCAGGGATCCTCCTGCCTCAGCCTCCTGGGTACTGAGATTACAGGCATGTGCCACCACACCCATCCTCAGAACCTATGTTGTAGAGGCACAGAAGTCAATTTTGTCATTTATTGGATCAATTGTTTTAATAAATATATTTCTAGCCAGATCTAATTATGGACTTCTATTTTGTTTGTTTCCTTCCTCTTCCTGTACCCTGATTCCTGATTTATTTTTCTTTGTCTTCTTTTGGGAGATTAATGAACATACATGGTGTGAAGGAGATCCTTTCTCTCCAGTCGTATTCGTAAGTTTCTTCCTCAGGAGAGCCTTAACTCACTATTACCAGGGCTAAAAGCTTCCCCACCCCTTTGGTTTCTTCAGTTTTAAGAACCCTGAGCTTACTGGGCATTGTAGATAGTTTTCCAAAGTGATTGTACCCATAACCACTCCTGATGTGTTGTATATTTATAATGTCAGCTTCTGTACACTAAGAATTTTGTTTTATTCCTCTTTATACCTCTAGTGTCAACTAAACTACCTAACAGGTAATAATAATGTTACAGGCATTGGTGATGAAGTATAGAAACAAAAGCATTAATTTCTATCTTCTAAAAGTTTACACATTTTCTTTTAAAAAATAACTTACATGTTTTAAATGTTCTTTTGCTCTTAAAATTGGCATGTTGTAATAAATAATTTAAATTGGTTGATGCTTGTTTCCAGGTAATAAACGAAGGAGATTCAAGCCTTGCCTCTGAGTTACAGGAAGAGACAGAGGAAAAGCCAAGGCCAGCTGTGGATGAGAATAGTACAGTGTCAGCTAGAAAACAGGGACCCCATTTACATAACTGGAGTGGTGACTGGAGCTTTTGGGTAATATTTTTTCTATTTTATATCTTCATTTTAATCTTGAACTTCTAATTCTACAACAACGCATATAATACTTGTATATTTTCTTATTAGCATCTAGGATTTTAGATATTCTGACTTTAGAGTCCTACGAACACTTTTTTATTATATTCTCCTACCACTAGAATGCACTGTTGTCTGGTTTGAGGGAGTAGAATTAGCTGCTTTGCTTTCTTTGTGGGAAAACCCAGACTTCAGCATCAGATTCCACTTTCAGATGTGTTTTTAACGATATTGGCGAGAAACTAACTCTATGTAAGCCGTATTTCTAATTATTATTGAGAAACCAACTATTTTATGTAAAGCTTTAGTTCCTGTATTTAAAGGGAAGTCAGGGGCTTTAGGTTCTGTTGCAGTGTACATACTTGTCTGTGTAACCCGGATGTGCCTAAGGTTTCCCCACTGTGAAATGAGATGGCAGCTTGGTGAGCGCCTTGAGATCAGAGGGTCTCTTTACAAGAACATTCAGTTACCGTATGAATGCTAGCGTTTATTGTGTTAAAAGGCTCATCCCAAATCTAGCAATTACTAAGAGCCATTTGAGAGGAACCAAAATACAAGTGTTGTTTTAATACTAGCTCACTAGAAAGCTGATCCCTTGAGAATTAAGGATCCTTGATAGTAGATTTTCTTGTAATCTTGAAATAGGCTAAAATATATAATTTTAACAGGTGGTGAGGATTAGTGGTATCATTCTCATAATTTACAATTCAGTTCATGAGAATATTATTGAGCTTTTCTTTCTTTTTTTTCCGTTTTTTTTTTTTTTTTTTTTTTTTTTTTGTATTTTAGGGAAGGGTCTAAATGGTGTTCAGGGTCTTACTACTAGATTGGACTGGTAGTGATCTGCCTGCCTACAGCCTCCCAAGAACTGGGATTACACACGTGTGCCACCATGCCCAGTCTCAATTGCCATCTCAGTGAGCCCTGGGGGTGGAGCCAATACGGCAGGCCCGGGGATCAAATCCCTGGCCCCTGTGCGTGCTTGCAGGTGCTTTAATCTGCTGAGCTATTTGGCTGGCCCTTCTTTCTTTTTTTAAAGATGGTCTTGCTATGTAGCTGAAGCTTGCCTTAAATTTGCAGTCCTCCTGTCTCAGCCTCCCAGAGGGCTGGGATTATTGGCATGAACCACTATACCTAGTTGGAATGTTATGGAATCTTAATATAGCCAACAAGTTCTCACTTCCTAATAAGAAACTTAAAAATTGTAAGGTTTTTTTTTTGGAAAATATTTAAGTGCTAAGAAATTTGCCAAAATAACACATTTTAAAAGTCATGTCATCTATATTGATTATATTATTTTTGGTCACCTTTAGAAAAAACTTATGACTGTGGTAGTACTTTGATTCTAAATGCATTGTATTATTTATTTTATTTGTACATTTTAGTCTTTTGAGACAGGCTCTAGGTTTGTATTTCAGGCTGGCCTTGAACTCACTGTGCAGTCAAGGCTGCCCTTGAACTCACAGCACTCCTCAAGCCTCAGTCCTCTTCAGTGGTGGGATTACAGGTGTATTCCCTCATGCACAGCTGCACTGTGATTTTTATATTTTAAATTATGGATGGGAGTTAATAGCTTTAAGGACTGAGTTGTTATTGTGGTTACTCTTGGCAAACATAAAGCAAGAAAAAAAAAGGGTAACATGAGAAAAGGAATAAAGCAAGAGAGTTTAGAAATAGGAGAAAGAAAAAAACCTATGTGTACTAGATCCTTGCTGTTCAAAGTATGGTATGGGTAGCTAGCAGACTTGATGTCACCTGACAGCTGATTAGAAATGGAGACTCCTGGTCACAACCTCAGACCTACTGGATCAGAAATCTTCTTTCTTTACAAGATTCCTGATGTGCATGTAAAGTTTGAGAGTCTCTGGACTAGAGTTGAGAAGTCTTCTTTAGGTCATTTTAAGTCCCCATGATGTCAGACCCTTTATTGTACTGAAGTTTTGTATGAAGGCACACACAATAGATGTGAAAACAAATACAGCCTCTCAGAAATTTTACAGACTTTTCCAGTGGTCACTCACCCAGAAATCTAAACTGTCAAGAACTCAAAAGCAAAAAACCATGAAGGACACCTTGCATAGATAATTTGGAGTTCGGGCTAATACAACTAATAATAGAGTTCCTCAGATCTTTGTTTGGAGTGTAATTTATTTTTGCCATATATTTTAAATAAGGATAAATAAGTTGACTAGGATATTAAAGATAGGATAATTGAAAAGAACATGTATATAGCAGCAAAAAATGATAGCACAAGGTTAAAAAGTATAGCAATGTGGGCTTTTTTTTTCCCCCCCAGAACTGGAGATTGACCCATGGTCTCATCCATGATAGACGAGCACCCTACTTTTTTTAAAAAAATATTTTACGACAGTTTTGTTGAGTTTCCCATGGTTGCCTTGAACTTTGGGATCCTTCTTCCATAGCCTCTAAACTAGTTAGGATTACAGGCATGTGCTGCTGAACTTAGCTCACTCTGGGCATCTTCATGTGGAGGTCAAAGGTCTGTGTGTCCAAGTCAACTGTGTTTTATATAGACATAGATTCTGATAAATGCATTGTCAGATGATTTCATCACTGTACGAACATCATAAAATGTACTTACATAAATTGAGGTGGTATCGTCTTTTATTGTCGAGTATTGTGCCTTGTGCACAGTTGTATGTGCTTTTATATGACTGGCAGGGTAGCAGATTAGACGTGCAGCCTGGCCATAGTCTACTTTAAGCCTTATGGTGTCAGTAGGTGATAGGAGTGTTTCAGCTCCACTAGTCCTCTGGGTCTCCATTGACTAAACAATCTTAGGTGATGTGTGACTGTACTATCACTGGTAGAAATGATGTTTAAGAAGCCTGGAAAATAAATAATAAATCTTTTCTCTGCTATTTTGAAATTCTCTGCTTCTATCACTTGCTTCATGAAGTTGTTATTTTTTCATTTTTCTAGCAATAAAGTAGAAAGTGAATAAATACAGTAAGATGATAGAATATACTGAAGAATCCCCTATTAACGAAGGAGGACTAGTAGTATAACACATGCAGTCTTCATGAGACACATGATCTGGTATTTAAAAAGAGATTAAGACTGCCAGATATAGTTCACTGGACCATCCAAGGAATCTGTAGTTGTAACTTCTCATGTTAGGAAGGCTATTTCCTTTTTTGGTAAATATCTCTGATTTTTTAATTTTTGTTTTGATTGGTTGGTTGTTTCATTTTTGAGTACTAGGGATTGAACCTGTGATGTTCACTAAGTTGCTAATTGGCTAGGCTGGGTTCAAACTTTTGATCCTCCTGCCTTACTCCCCCACCCCCAGAGTGCTGGGCTTCTAGGTGTGTTTCACTACTCTGGTTGGTCCATATTTTTAACCAGATTTGAACAGAAGAGTAATCACTTAACCCAGGCAGAAATAGAATGCCTGCTTCATATGTATGTCATGTAACCATCAAAGTTCCTCCCCACAAGGTCCTATACTGACTGGTTATACTTGATGAGGGCTGTGATAACCTTTTCTGTGTTATTTCTGAGCACCTGAGCAATACATTCCCCCAAGTCCTGCTTCATCTCTTCTGACTTGTCCATATTCTTGGCACTGCCATTTGATGGCACAGGGTTACTATGGAGCAGGGCTGGTCACTGCAGCAGTCTTCAGGGAGAAGGGCTGGCCCCGAGGAGCTGCCCGCTCTCCTGAAGCTAGTGTGTCCTTAGCAAGCTTTCTACTAAAAGGTGGAGATTTTCCTAACTTGAATACTTATTTTGGTGTTTAAAGAGTCAAGCTCCAGAATCTGGATACTTCACTAGTATAGAAAAGCTTAATGTGGCCTGGCTAAATCCACTGTTTCACAGTTGTGACTATACAAGGTGTTATGATATAATTAAACACATTGGAGATTGGAAATAAAATACGTGAATACCCTGGTGGGCTGAGCTGGCCACACACACACACCACACACTCTCACTCTCTCTCTCTCTCTCTCTCTCTCTCTCTCTCTCTCTCTCTCTCAAATAAATAAAAAGAAAAAAGAAATTAAGATTTAAATTTAAAAAAAAATAAAATCATAAAACAATAAAAATATGAGTTGAATAAATGAAATTGAAAATTAAGTTAACTGCAAATAACACTTATGCTTTTGCTCTTTAACTATTAGTAAACATATTAACAAAAGGAAAAAAAAGCACAAAACAATAAAAACCTTATTTCTTCCTGACTAAAATAATGGCCTATTCCAGGATCCCAAAGGAAGGGCAGACAGATCTCTGACAGGTGCATTCATTTAGTGCAGCTTCTTCTAGTGACACAGAGTTAACAACTGCCAAGAATAGAAAAAAGCCTTTCAGAATTATAGGTGTGTATAGTTAGAAATGATATACTCACTCTGTATTTTGATAGAATACTCCTTTGGATAAAGTGTTTATTATTCAACATCCTCTTTTACTTTGCTATTTCATTACGTTCCCTTTTAAAATATTTGTCATGTATATATTTATTTCCTTACCTGCTAAGTTGGTAATTGGTTTTTAAAAGTGGAGGAATTTATGGTTTTCTCGATTGACTAAAACTAGATATGTTTAGAAGTGTAGTTTTCATTTTTAAAATCATTTATTTATTTATTTATTTGGTACAGGGTCTTGCTATATAGCTTGGACTTGTAGTGACCCTCCTGGCTCAGACTCCCCAGCGCTGGGATTACAGGTGTGTGCCACATGCTTGCTTTTAGAACCAACATAGAATGTGGTACCCAGGATCAAACCCAGGTACTTGTGCTTGCCAGCAAGGCGCTTAGGCTGCTGAGCTATCTCCCCAACCCTAAGAAGTCTAGTTTTTTTGTTTGTTTGTTTGTTTGTTTGTTTGAATAATTGTGTATTTGAAAATCTTGACAAATACACAAAGAATAAAAAAATATATAAATCCTGATCTCTTATCATTGTTTTAGGGGGAAAAAAAATAAAAAAAGATGTAGGAG